GCTACGGCCACACAGGTCATATTAAGTTTTCTTTAATATTCCGTATTATAAAAGGTTATATTATGCTTTGAGCTAGAAATGCATGCTGTTAACAAGTTGACCATTATCATACAATCTATATGGTCATCATGACTCCATGAGCATGTGGCTATCACCAACACATCACACTGATGTAAGGAAATGGGCATTACAATTCATTTAATTAATGAATTCTACACCCCTCCTCTCTCTGCACCCTCGACCAACCAATTGTTTTGATCGTGATAATCTCCAAGGTTATGTTCATTGCTATGGCCATACAGATCATATTAATTTTGCATTAGTATTCTGTAATATAGATGGTTATATTATGCTTTGAGCTAGTAATGCGTACTGTTAGTACTATATCACAGGAATAATATCTATATGGTCATCATAAGCCCATGAGCATGTGGTTGTCACCAACACCTCTATGTGTTGGACACTGATGTAAGGAAGTGGGCTGTACAATTCATTTAATTAATGAAACGCCTGTCCTCAGCCCATTTTTTTTATGGTGATAAATTCCATGGTCATGATTATTGCTACGGCCATATAGATCACATTAATTTCTTCTCTAATATTCTAATGTTGCACCATGCATCGAAGTTAAAATAAACAAATCATAGAAGCACATCTCGGATTGAATCAAATGATTTTCCCAACTATCTATAGAACACTTGAAACATATACTTTGTATGGGAGCTAGAGCTCCATGAAGCAGATGGCTAGAGTAGTAACTATATCCTGTTTTCCCCTAGCTTATTGTAGCATGACTTCAACCTTTTGCACTACATTAATCATATAACTACTGTTGCCTATTGGTATTTCCGCTCATTTTAATCTAACCATGAAGCTAATGGTTGGATAAATGTGGTCTAAAGACCGTGAAATTTGAATTTCTGAAGAAGGATCACTATTGTTGACGAGATTTGTGTGTTAGCTGTTCTTGACACCAGCATATTGTTTAATTCAAAATTTGGCAGGTCCCAATCCAAAATTTCTCTTGGAAGCGTTTTTCTGCAACACATTATGAGGAGATTCTCATTCTCTTCCAACTTAGCTCTCTCCAACAAAGAAGTTGTAATGCTGCTTATTTCATATTTCCTATCTAGTCCTTTCTTAACAGTGTGGATGATGATCTATCTCAAAGTACTAAACACGAGGAATCAAGAAAACATATCAATGCCTAATGAAATAGAATAATGTAAACAAACAAGAATATGTAAACGAACAAAAATATTAACATCGATAATCACAAGGAAAGCTATTGAGAATATCTGCAGTAATTGACTTGCAAGCAAGGTTCTCCCTAGAGGCATTTCTATGCAAATGGAGCCAGCTTGACTCCCTTGACTTTGTGTCCAACTTGGTTGCCTTGACCAAGAAGATACTAGCATTGGTCATTATACTGTTCCTAGTCTTTTATTGAACATCTAAAGAAGAATGTAGAGTCATAGTACTTTGTGTAAGGAAGCAAAAAAAATATATCACAAGTAATGAAACAATTGTGAACAAACAAGTATGCATATCAACGTTGGTGACATGAGGGGAAGTTATCAAGAATATTGCAGTAATGGCTATGGAAGAAAGAGAAATAGGATTTGGTCCACTTATGCATATACGTACTCTGACAGCCACGCGCATACAAACACACTCATGAACGTGCACACTTGGGCAGAGAGAGAAATGTATGTTTGTATGTATGTGTGAGCTGAGATTTGTATGTTATGTATTGGCTAGTCTTTGAATGCTAAAAGAATGGACCTGTTGGGTCTCTTTATAAACAATGTGTCCTCTTTAATTGTAGGCTTTAGTTGTTGGAGGTTTTGGGACTACCTCAGACCTGCATGAGGAGCGAAGGCTATTGAATAGGGGATCTCTTTGATCGAACTACATACAGGAAAATATGTACTGAAAATCGGTACATGGCATTTTCAAGGTTTGGGCTTCGGTGCTTGGAATTCAAGATGGCTGTTAGAGACATATTGGCATCTGTCTTCTTCATTTCAAATATATGACCCCTTGAAAGAAATTAACTAATTATGATTGGGAAGCATTCATCATTGTGGACCTTGTCCAAATATTGAGTTCAACTATGGTCTCCATAGTTCTACAATCCTTTCTAAAATGAGTTTAGCTAGGCTGGTATACTTAATTGTCTCGAGTATACCATTTGGAAGCCAAAGGAGACGTTTTGGAACTTAATCTGACAGGAGAAGAAGTCACAGTTCAAGTCACTCTATTAGTTGTTAGTAAATTCTAAGAGCTTTTAACTGAAGTTGGCATCCCCCAATCGCGTCCCCCAATCATGGTCCTTATATGTACCCTTTTGCACTCAAGCTTTCTTGTGGCTGACTGCAAGTTTGAGATTGCTAACCACTGATCAATTGAGGAAGAGGGGAATGCCCATGGATGAGAATATCAATCTTCTTTTGCTACATTGGCCCCATATGAAAGAGATTAAGAACTGGGCTTTTGCCTTATTTGATGTCGGCTAGATTGCACCATTGACTGTAAAGGAATTCGTTACACATGTGTCCTATCACAAGTTGAAGAAAGTCGGCAAACTATTATGCCAAATGCTTGTGGTGGCAATTTTTTGGAGGGTGGGGAGAGAGGAATCACAGGTCTTTCCAAGGATCGGTGTTAGATACTAGTCATCCAAAATCAGACATCATCGCATCTGTAGCTTCATGGCCACTGGCAAGAAAGGAGTTTGGGGGCATCACTAAGGAGGACATCATCTGTAATACAAAGTCAATGGCAGGTTTGCAGCAAAGAAAATCTAAGAGAGGGGGAAGATGCCAACCACCATAGGAGGGCGGGAAGAAATTAAATATTGATGGGAGCTCTAGAGGTAACCCTAGGGTAGTTGGCATTGGAAGAATTCTAGTAAATGATAGAGGTTGCAAGGTGTTCACATATTTAGCCCCATGTCGAGATTGCAGTGTTATAGAAGAAAAATTTAAATCACTTATGCAAGGAATAAGATCTTTATTGTGGGATCATCAAAAAAGTCATTGTTGAGGGGAATTTCCATGATGTCTAGTGCAAGACCACCATGGAACTTTATTGAAATTTTAGATGAAATGAAAGAATTGGAAAGGGGGGAAGAAGTTGTATATAACCATGTGTACAAGGAAAAGAACCAAGAAGCAGACCAACTAGTCCAAGAAGGTTTTGGTAGAGTGACTTTGTGTGTTTCAAGGGAGAGTGAAATAGCTGCAAATCAATTTAATTTATTGAGTGTGTATAGATTTTGTCGATGTCTGTCCCCATTTTGTGTAAGGAATGAATTTTGTACGTGTCTTGATGTATCTTTGAATTCTAATAAATAAGTATAGCCTTTTAAGGATACTTGGATGTATACAACCAAATGTATAGAGCTAAGAGCGAGCCACAAACCTTATCTGTATGTGTGCCTCTGTGCTTGGTTGCTCCTACCCTCTTGTGTATACTTGTGCAATGTTGGCCTTGCCTTAGCCAAATTTGGCTAAGTGGGAAGATGGGCTCTTACAACATTTGGTGTTAATGCATGGTTCAATGACCATGGTTGGTGGTGTCTCACTAGAAATTGAAGTGTGTCAGCCATCTCGAGGGCTTTTGGAGTAAGTCATGGCCCAAGAGGTCCAAAAGGGTGGGTTGGGGTAGCACAAACCTTAGGTTCAATTTGATGTATCGGAGGATAACTGGGATGCTCATATATGACCTTTGGGGCTGTTGTGGACTCCCTCATGTTGAGTCTTATGGTCCTATAAGAAGAGCCCTTGTCAAGAAGGCCTTTTGTGGCACCCCAGAGCGGGTTGGACTCTTGAAGTGTAATGGCATGTTTTATTTTGGAAGCGATGGCTTCTAAAGCCATCTCTTCCAGATATTGTTGCAGTTCTCTGAAAATGCCCATTGAACCAATCATGGGAATAAGGGAAAAATAATAATAAACAAAAAAAAAAAAAAAGAACTTTAGAGAATATACCAATTTTTAAGTCTACAAGGAATTCAATTTAGAGACCTTGTTACAAGACCGAAATTATTTACTCAATTCACCATCTGCTTTACAAAGAAGATACATCTTCACTTTAAATACAAATTAAAAGGAATAATAATCATCATCGTCAAAGCTTTTTCCCAAGTAATTGGGATCAAGTACATGAATACTGGTCTGCCATTTTGCTCTATTAAGGGTGATTCCTTTAGTGAAGCCATATGTTCGCATAACTTTTTTTCACTACTTCCAACCACATCGTTTTGGGCTTACCCATTGCCCTTTGTAGCCTTACACTCGAACTAAGTCACATCTCCTAACGGGTGATATATTGCGTCTACACCACACATAACTAGCTCATCTAAGTCTTTTTTCTT